AAGTATGATGGATGTTTCTTAAATGCAAGGGTTGGGAAGTAGCATTGGCTACTGATTCTAGGAGAAGGGTGCTTTCTCTTTTGTAGTATGCTCCACTGTTTATGCTTTGAGCTGCCAAGTCTGTTGTGCCACAACAAGTTTCCACTGCACATTGAAATAGAAGAAATTGTCTGAAATTACTCCTCACTCTCAACCAGTTTAGGCAGAGCCCTCTAATTCTCTGACCATTTGGGGCAGTAAAAGACAGAGGGTTCTCAGGTGCCATGTGGACAGAGGGTTCCATCAGCCGTGCTCACCCTCCATTGCTTTTTCCCTGTTTAACTTGAGCCAATTAAGGCTGCACTATCATTAATTGTCAAACTAGCACTTTCAGACTCGAGAAAACCCATCTGGCAATCACCTTTAAATTAGCCTTCAGTCCCTCTAAGTAGCTTTAATTAAAGTCACGGCTGGCACAAAACTGTCCAGGTTTTGTTTGGGGTTACAAATTCACAGTGTCACAGGTGTGCCAGGGACAGGACATGTATTAACTCGGGAACCTCAGGGTCTCATTCAGGTCAGGCTCAGATTGTTTGGTAAATACAGGCCTCTGTACAGGACAGGCTTGGCTGACAGCTCATCTCTGAGAGCCTTCCTTCCCAAGGAATGAAGATAAACTTCCCTGTAATCTGAGAAGCTGGTTCTAGCACAACCAGACCACTACCTAAGGCCACTGAAGACGAAGGGCACCTTCTAACCACACAGAGGTTGTGTTGAGAAAGTCGGAATATGCACCTGCATTGTTGTTCGACAGTTTTCTCTAAGAAAAGAGACGCATTCCCAGCGGCTGCTCCTCATAATGCTCCAAGAATGAACTCAAACGTGGAGACCCTGAAGAAGAACTATACCATGTCCTATACCCTACCTCAGGCAAGGTCATAGTTGTGGTTTAGAGGTGATTTGTACCCCTGACCTCACACAGCAGTTTTATCCCCAGATGATGTGTGCTTGGTATGAAGAAGGTGAAAACTCCATCTGGCTATGGTGGCGGAGGTAGAGCAGCAGGGAGGGGATCAGGTCATTAGCCAGGAGCCCCCATGATTGAATCCTTGTAGCTTTGCAAGGAGGAGAGAGACCGGACACAGATGGATGTATCTGCTGCTTCCTGTCTCTCACCATGCACAGATAGCCCTTCACCAGGAATCACAGCACAGCTGAGGTCCCTATGCCTTGTCCCTCCAGAGCCACGAGCCAACAACATTTTTCTTCACAAAGCAGCCTGCTCCAAGTACTTTTACACTTTTAGTGCCAAAAAATCTGACACTCATGTCACGGCTCTAAAACCACCAGCTCAGCCGGATGGTTCGGGCGGGAGTGAGCGGCCTGACAAACACAAAACATGGACACATACACACTGGCCTGTGTTCAGGGCTGTCCTCACTCACCGGCTGACTCTGGCCAAGTCGCTCACCTGCCTGTGCCTCTTGACCCTTGTCTCCGCAAGGTTTCAGTGAGCGTCGGCAGAAATAATATCCGGAAAGTACTTGGCAGAGCATCAGGCAGAAGTAAGTGGATGATAAACCACATTTAGGGGGAAAGGGCGGAATGGTTGGGAGCTTTGCTTGCTACAGCAGCTCCCAGCAGCAGCGCCCCGGGGTCTTAAAGGCCCTCGTCTTCAGAGACCCGTATTCTCATTTCTTTTCATATCGAGTTTCCTCAAATCTTGTTGTTTTGGTCTTATGGCCAGGAAAAGGCTGGGAAAAATCTTGTTTATGAGGGTTCATAACTCTCTTCAAAATCAAAATGCGTCCATGTCTTCTAGCATCTGTGATGATTCTAAGGAATTTTCCTCTCCTCCTTCAGGGATAAATATCCTGCTATTCATCCCACATTTTCCCATCTCTGCCATGACCTTCTGTCAAATCTAGTGAAGGTTTAGCACATTTTCTCGCCTTTCCTTCCTGCCAGACAACAAACATGCTCAAAACTCCCCAAACAACAACCGAAATCCAAATGAAACCAAGATCATGCCTTCAAGTTGTGCCCTCTCCCCTGCTGACCTGTGGGGGCTCCATGTCTAGCCCACTGCCCACCAGGGACATGCCAACCAGGCCCCTGCCCCTCCCCCAGGCTCTCCCTATCCCGTTCTCAGCTCAGCTCACAGCAATGTCATCACCATAGTTAGCCCAGATGGAAACAGATTTTACTTTCCCACAATGCGAGCTGAATGATGGATTGATGGAAATCCTTGTCATGTTAATCTGTGTAGTGCACTAGGCCCTGGGCTTTTCAGATCTCTTTATTATCTGGTCTCGTTCTCTTGGTTTTGTTTCCCCTTGTGAACTATAGTTCTAAGAGGGAAGAGATTCCATTTATCTCATAGGCTTTATACTTGCTTATTATTTTCAATAACTTACATGCACTGTCTCCATAACCAAAGCATTTCTTTTTTTAAAAAAATGTATTTGTTTTATTCAAAAGGCAGAGTTTCAGAGATGCAGAGGCAGAGAGAGAGAGAGAAAGAGGTCTTTGGTCTGATGATTCACTCCCCAAATGGCTGCAATGGCTGGAGCTGGGTTAATCTGAAGCCAGGAGCCAGGAGCTTCTTCCAGGTCTCCCACATGGGTGCAGGGGCCCAAGCACTTGGGCCATCTTTTATTGCTTTCCCAGGCCATAGCAGAGAGCTGGATGAGAAGTGGAACAGCCAGGACTCGAACCGGCATCCATATGGGATGCCGGCACTGTAGGCAGCTGCTTTACTTGCTATGCCACAGCACCAGCCCACCAAAGTATTTCTTGCTCTTCACTCCTCTATGCCTCATCACCTCTCAACTGCACTATTAGATGAGCATATTATTTATTTCCTATGCTCTATATGGTGCATTTACTCAACAAATATCTAGTAAGTACATTTCTGTGCTGGGCCCTGCTCTGACTACTGGAAAAAACAGACTTCCTGCTCTCAGGGGGCTTATAGTCTAACTGAGGAAGGCAGAACCCAGAAAGATGCATCAGGTGGTGCTAAGGTTACTGGGATGGCAAACCAAAGGTGGCAGACACAGATGGATGGCAGTGCTGCTTTTCAAAGATTGTGAGGAGGGTCTGGAGCTAGCTGTGGTGTAGCCGGTAAAGCCACCACCTGCAGTGCTGGCATCCCATATGGCTGCAGGTTTGAGTCCAGGCTGCTCCAATTTCCACTTCAATCCAGCTCTCCGCTATGGCCTGGGAAAGCAGTAGATGGTGGCCCAAGTCCTTGGCCCCTGCACCCATGTGGGAGACCTGGAAGAAGCTCCTGGCTTCTGGCTTAGGATCTGCATAGCTGTGGCTCTTGCAGCCAATTGGGGAGTGAACCAGCATATGGAAGACCTCTCTCTCTCTCTGCCTCTTCTCTCTGTGTAACTCTGACTGAAATAAATAAATAAATCTTTTAAAAAAATATTGTAAGGAGGGGCTTCTCTGATTCACTGGCATTTGAGCAGAGACTTGAAGCAGGTGGGAGAGGAGCCTTCCAGACTCTGTTTGAAGTGCCCCCCATTTGCAGAGAACCACAAGGAAATAGCCCAGAGACAGGTGTATGATGGAGGACTGGAGTGCAGGGTGTGTGCAGATGGATGGCAGGAGTGGTTGGAGGAAGGGGTTGACAGGGGCAGGGGCTGGGTGGCAGTTTGAAGTAAGAACTTTGAAGTTGATTCTGAAATTAAATGAAAGCCATCAGTGAACTCTGAAAAGGAATCCTAACTTCTGGTCCCCAGACACAGCTCTGATCGTATTCCTCCTATATTAAAGCTTTCTTGCTATTTCCTATAAAATAAACCCCACACGTCTCTGCTTGGCATTTAAATTCCTGTGCTATGTGGAGCCTTTGGCTTCTCATCCACACTCTCCCCTCTCCTCTGTTTCATCTCGAGATGTGCTTATCCAGCATGGTGGCAGTGACAGTTGAGTAGATACAGTGTTCTCTCTATCTGGAATGCCTTTACACGTGCTCCTGTGACCTCCCGCCTCGGCTATCCCCCACATAACAAGCTGTAATTTCTTGGAAGCTACTGAAGGTGATGTCTGAGTACTCTCCACTGAGTAATTCCCAGTGAATATTTGCAGCATTTCTGTGAGACAGGGGCTGGCATTGTGGCCTCTCAAGTTAAGCCATCACCTGCAATGCCTGCATCCCATAGGGGCTCAGGTTCGAGTCCCGGGTGCCCTACTTCCAATCCAAACATATGTGTGCTGGATCACGTTCCGGCTGCTCCACTTCTGATCCAACTCTCTGTGAATGTGCCTGGGAAAGGAGCAAAGGATGGCCCAAGTCCTTGGCACTTATACTCATGTGGTAGGTCTTGGTAGAGCTCCAGGCTCTTGACTTCAGCCCGGCCTAGCCATGGCTGTTGTGGCTATTTGGGAAGTGAACCAGGAGATGTGATCATTCTCTCTCTCTCTCTCTCTCTCTCTCTCTCTCTTCCTCCCTCCCTCCCTCCCTCCCTCTCTCCCTCCCTCCCTCCCCTTCTCTCTCTCCCTCTATCCCTCTCCCCTCTCTCCTTCATTTCCTGTTTCTTTCTCTTCTCTCTGCCTTGCATACAAATAAATAAATCTTTAAAAAGTACTATAAAACCTATGGCACATGTGGATTCTATGGAAAATGCAGTTAGAAGAGAAATGGGAATCAAAATGTATTGACCACCCATATGCCATGTTCTATGCTAGAAACTTAATATCAATTTTCTTGTTTAATTATCCATCAGAATGGATTTTAAACACCAGGGAACTTCATCTCACAGAAGGTGAATGTGTTTCTTGAAAGCCCGTGGTTAACAAGTAGCGAAATCGTTTCACTTCTCTGTATGGACAACTCCACTCTCTTCTCTGGCTATCACATCACATGCGATTATGCCTATGGAATTACAGCAGAAAGCACAATGAAGTTCTAGCACTGGGCTCCTCCACCTGTAAGGAATACAGAGGCCTGAGACGCTCATTGGTGAAGGGCTGAAAATGACTTTCATACCGAGCATAATAGTAGAGAGAAGCCTTAGGTATCTTGGGTGCTGTGAGATGGAGGGAAGAGCTTGGTATGTGGGAGCACAGGACTTTGACAAGAATTGTGGAAAGCAAGCAGACAGTAGGCTTTCAGTAACTATTGATAGCAAGGAAGGAAGAAGGAAGAGAAGTGTGAGGGAGGGAGGGAGGCGGGCACCTGAAGTGGCCTAATTCTGATTGATGGAATCTGTCTGCCCCACGCGTCTTCTCCCTCGTTACTCACTGCCTTGAGCTCAGCCACAGCTGTTTGGGGGAATGCTTAGGAATGCAGACGTGGGACCAGACTCACCTATGTTCTAATATCAGAGGTAGCTTTTATCAAGCTTGGCAAAGAACTAAAACATCTCCACTTTCCCGTTTCCTCCTCTGCACAACAGGGGTCACAGGAGTCCATCCAGACATCACAGTGAGGGTCAAATGATTTGTCAGGGTCTGTGACATCAGAGGTGCTCAAATAATGACAGCCCAGCAGTCATGCATACCTGGCCTCTGCATCACTGTCTTCCCTGGTCTGCCCTGCTTAGCTTGCTCCCCTATACACGGCTGCCCTGGGTCCTCAGTCCCAAGGGTATCTTCTATGGTCTCTGCCAATGAAAAAGGCTAGAGCCTTCAACCTCCACCACTTAGCTCCCTAGGTGGGTGACGTCCAGGAGATTCCCCCAGATGGTCTTGTCTTCGTCTGAAAATGGCATGGAGTTAACTGAGCCAGAAGCTACCTGAGTGAGTGTTTTTCACAGGAGAAGCACTTTGAGGATGCAGCCTTGTCAACACCAAGCTTGCTGGCTCCCTGAAAGCAAGGGTGATGGGACCTGACTTCTAGACAGAGCTGAAGAAGAGATCAGACTGGTGAGTGTCTGGAGTCAAGGGCCACTGTGTTCACTGGAGACAGTGGGGCCTTGGAGACAGAAGAATGGAGAAGCCACATCCAAGTCCCCCCACAATCCCAGCAAGAATAGAAGAGAAAGAGCTTACAAGGCTCCAGTGAGGGAACTTCTCAGGGGTTGTGGAATACAAAAGATAAAATTTGAGATCCATGCACACATTTTTCACAATGGGCATTTTCTATGAACTTCTTGAAGACTTCACCTATGCAAGGATTTCAATATTTTTTTGGCACCTAAAGTAACTTTTCAATTGCACTTCCATGACCTTTTTGAAGTCCCCTGGCACCTGAATGCTATCTTTTGGGAGGAATGGGGGTTGCACATGAGCTCTGAAGAGGAAGGGATGCCAGCTGAGGGCAGGACCAGGCAGGTACACCACACCGTGTGCATAGTCTGGTATGTCTGTTTCACAGTATGTGTACCTTTCTCTCTCTCAGGGTCATTCTGTTTCTAGGCTTAGCCATGCTGCTCACCTAACTGCCTGGAGAGCGGATGCCAGGTCATTCATTGTCCCTTGTGTGATCCCTGCATACTTCGCATGCACTGCACCCAGGAAGGTTGACAGGTATATTCCTTTCTCCCTGCCCACCTCCCACTGATGCTGAAGAGAATTCAGCACCTACCTCTGTGTTCAACCTGGGAAATGGCCAAGCCATTGGAGGCTCTACCCTTATTCTCGAAGAAACATGAGTCTCCCTAGAAAAACACAACAAAGCCGTCCAGAACAGTGGTGTGGCTACAGGTGGCATTACCACAGTGCCTATGTGAGGGTGGACAAAGGGGAAACTGAAGTGGATGGGGCTGTTACTACCATGGTTGTCACTGGATGGCCAGCACATGGGGGCTGTGGGCATGCACACTGAGCCAGCGAGGAGGTTGCACCCATGCTCTCAGCTTATTAAGATCCCATGCATCTGCCTGCCCGCATCTCCCCTTACCTCCCTCGTAGGCTTTCTTCAGGAAGGCAATGTTGGGATTTTGAAAAGGATATTTGGGGAGACAAAGGGCTTGTGTCATGGAGAATGGATGCTGGGCTTGGGAAGCCAATTAACCACAGTGAAATGGATGCTGTATCCAATGCCTCTCAGCTGGAAAGAGCAAGCTTCCAGCTTCCTCCTGCCTGGACAAGTGCCTTCTCGCCCTGAGCCTGTGGCTCCACCCTTCCTGCCACCCCATAGAGTCTGCCTGCAGTCAGAGGGGGCCTGGAGCCCTTTTCTTTTCTTTCTTTCTTTTTTTTTTTTTGACAGGCAGAGTGGCGTGTGAGAGAGAGAGACAGAGAGAAAGGTCTTCCTTTGCCGTTGGTTCACCCTCCAATGGCCGCCGCGGCCGGCGTGCTGCGGCCGGCGCACCGCGCTGATCCGATGGCAGGAGCCAGGTGCTTTTCCTGGTCTCCCATGGGGTGCAGGGCCCAAGCACCTGGGCCATCCTCCACTGCACTCCCTGGCCATAGCAGAGAGCTGGCCTGGAAGAGGGGCAACCGGGACAGAATCCGGCGCCCCGACTGGGACTAGAACCCGGTGTGCTGGCGCCGCTAGGCGGAGGATTAGCCTAGTGAGCCGCGGCGCCGGCCCTGGAGCCCTTTTCAAGATACTATGGAGGCTGAGGGTTGATGCCCCAGCTTCCTGCATGCAGGAACTCTTTCCTCAATGTCTCACAAAGGGGATTACTCACTGGGTAAAGCAGAAGCTTGTCAAGCAGCCATGAGCATAAGGGAAGATTTCATCTCTCTGGGACGGAGAGAAAGGTAACCAGAGCTGGGAGGCCAAAGGGTAGGGCCTGGCTGGAGGGAAGGAGGTGTTGGGTGGAGAGGGTGTGAGTCATGCGTGCGAGCCCTGCCTGACACTGAGAAACTAGAGAGGAGAATCAGTAAGGCCAAGGCAAAAGGATCAGCAGAGCCCAGCTCCAGCCCCCAAGGCAAAACCATCAATACGTCATCCCTCTTCTGATCCCTGAACTCACTGGTCAGCCCCACTGGGAGTTGCCCTGCAAAGCGAAAAAAGCCATTTCACCTAACACTGAGAGTGTGAGGCAAGAGACAACTTGGAGGTGGCTGGACAGACAGCACTCAGCTCGCTTCTATCCTGTGGGACTTAGTTTTTGCGTGGCACCTTACCTACACATTTCCCCAGCATGTGATGGTTTGTCTTACAAGTTTCTGACTTGAGGATGGAGCAAAACTATTGTGAATTCAGTAGAAACCCTTGGCTAGTGATATGCAGCATGGTCTTTGGATGCTGAGCAGAGGCAGTGAGCATAGCTTACAGTCCTAAGGGAAAATTATTGAGACCCTTGAGACCCCAACAGTATGCTGTGTGGCTAAGCTAGATGTACAGTAGGTTGAGTGTACTTAATGCATTTTTTATTTAGTGTATCTTCCACTTATGATGGATTCAAGAGGATACAACCCCATTGTAAGTCAAGAGCATCTGTCCTTGGATAAGAGTCTGAGAAGGGCTTGCATTGGGCCAGCAGGACATGGAATGATTGGGTAAACCCTGCCTCATGGAAGGCTCATTCAAAAGAGGCATTGGGCTGGTCAAGCAGCCTGTGGGGAAGGCTGAGCATTTTGATGTTTTTGCAACTGAGCGAGGACAGAAAGAGTCTCTGGGGCCATGGAAACCCCATGATGTCCCTGAGCATGGGGTTTCACTTTGCTTTTCACAGACAGTGCAAGAAAGCTCTGCTACACATGCCTTAGATGGCCTCCTGGACTGAAAAGAATATGATAATGGAAAAGTGCCTCCACCAAAACAGCATGAAGGGCCAAGGGTTGGGGCAGAACAGATGGCATACGGGTGAGTTTTCTCGTTAAGGGATACCAGACATGTCCAGGTTTACCTGGTTTAGAATAAAGTTTCCTGATGTGAAGATGGGTTCCTCCCAGCCCCCTCCCCCTATATGGATTATTGGCTTGTCTCCTCTCGGCTTCTTTAATACTGCTTGAAAGCAATGCCTTTGGCTATTACTATAATAGAGATGTCCATTAGAGCTATTTCCTCCTTAAGAGATGCTATTGTGGTAGGGAGATGCAGAGGCACAATCTTCCTCATTCAGGTGCATTCTCTATGCTCACAGAAGCAGCACTTCATGCAGAGGGGTTGTGGGGGGATCTGTGGCCATGCAGAAGAAGTGCAAGGAGCAGAAAAGAATCACCCTCCCCATCCTGAGGGACTGACCCCATGAAGGGCAGCCAGTCCACCTGCCAGTCCACCTGCCACACAGAAGGCTCTCTCTACTTTCCCCAAAGACAGAGCTGACTTCCAGATCTTCTCATCCCTCTAGGTTGAGGACAGCACCCAAGAGCTTCATGTGCTGCTCCTAAACATAGACCTCCAAACTCCCCCACTCCTCTCTGCCCTTTCCTCTTGAACACCGAGGTCTCACCTCTCTCCAGCCTCTGATGTTTTTTGTACAATTCTATCATTTTTGTGTGCAAGTCGCTCTTGCAAAAGGGCCTTGCTATGCCTGTTCCTTCAGTTTTTCAGACAAGCAAGTGTTTATCATCTTTTAGGTCCCAGCTCAAATGGCCCTTTTCTGTGCTGTTGTTATTGATTTCTCTGTTATTCAATGCCTACTTCTCTTTGTAAATAGCAGTTCTTTGTAAGAGCGAATATGACTATCATATTTTATGTCAGTCATTTAAGTCTATTTTCTACACACTCACACACACATGGGCTGCCTACCCTGCCAGCTATCATATATTCAACATTTACCATGCTGTGGCCAGGGAAGGCGATATTATTATTCCCATTCCCCAAGTAAAAAATCCAAGGATAAACTATGGTAATATGCATAACTAACTAGTAGTAGAGATGGGATTCCAACTCTGATCCTATGGCTCCAAGCATTTCCTGTTGTTCCCATGAGACTGGAGTCCCTAGAAGGAGAAATGAGTAGTTCATGTTAGTGGGAAACAAATAGGGGCTGGTGCTATGGTGTAGATGGTAAAGCCGCAGCCTGCAGTGCCAGCATCCCACATGGGAGCTGGTTCAAGTCCTGGCTGCTCCACTTCTAATCCAGCTCTCTGCTATGGTCTGGGAAAGCAACAGAAGATACCACAACTCCTTGGGCCCCTGCTCCCGCATAGGAGACCCAGAAGAAACTCCTGGCTCTTGCCTTCAGATCAGCTCAGTTCCAGCCATTGTGTCCAATTGGGGAGTGAACCAGTAGATGGAGGACCTCTCTCTCTCTCTCTCTCTCTCTCTCTCTCTCTCTCTCTCTGCCTCTCCTTCTCTGTCTGTGTAACTCTTTCAAATAAATAAATAAATCTTTAAAAAAAGAAAACAAATAGACTTTAGACTTAATTCTGGATGCAGATGTCAGTTCTGACAGGGACGAGTTGTGTGACCTTGGAGAAGTTACTCAACCTCAGACTAAGTCTCAGATTTGAAGTTGTGAAATAGTAAATTGGACTAAGAAAACCATTTATTTAACAATAGTATTCAAAGCATCAAACAGAATTCCACGTTACATGCTACAGAATAAATAGATACAGGAATGAGAGGTCCAGCCCTCGTTTTAATCGTTTCTCCCCCAATCCCTATGGACACGTGGTGAGGACGCTGTGAAGAGTGGCAGAGTGAGTACATTTTAACAAAGTGAGTTGAGTCTCTTCAGAGGTGAAGATGACTGGCAAAGGTAAGGGGAGAAGGAAGAGGGGCCTGAGCATCTTAATTGTCATATATGGATTTGATCATACTGAGACTAAGATATTGTGATTCCTACCATTAAGTTACACATTATTGATTTTGGCTAATTTTCACTTGATTTGACTCTTTTTTTTCTCCTCCTTTTTTCTTCTTTGTCATGCCTCTCCCTAACCTCTCCCCCCATACACACAGTTCTGGCAACTGGAAGGTCAAGGCCAAGGCACAGACAGATGCGATATCTGGAGAGAGGGCTGCTGCCTTGTTTTCAGATGATCATCATCTCATACCGTTGCCGCATGGTTGAGTGAGACACCATCTCTCTCTCATGTCTTCTCCATTAAGGGCACGGATCCCATTCACAGGGTTCCACTCTTATGATGTAGTTATCTTCCAAGGGCTGCACCTGCACCACCACAGTGGCAGTTGGGATCTCAGCATGGGCATCTAGGAGGGGAACGGAAGAGCAAAGCCCTCCATTCTTAGCATTCTTGTATGGTGAGTTTAAAGAACATGCAGTTGGGGCCGGCGCTGTGGCTCACTAGGCTAATCCTCTGCCTGTAGCACCGGCACACCAGCTTCTCATCCCGGTTGAGGCACTGGTTCTGTCCTGGTTGCTCCTCTTCCAGTTAAGCTCTGTGCTGTGGCCCAGGAAGGCAGTGGAGGATGGCCCAAGTGCTTGGGCCCTGCACCCGCATGGGAGACCAGGAGGAAGCACCTGGCTCCTGGCTTCAGGTCGGTGCAGTGGTGGCCGTAGTGGACATTTCGGGGGTGAACCAATGGAAGGAAGACCTTTCTGTCTCTCTCTCTCCCTGTCTAACTCTGCCTGTCAAAAAAAAAAATAACATGCATTTGGGGAGCAGAAAGCCCCTAATGATGAGGGTGGGTGCCATCAGTGGTCTAGGCTCAGCCTTCAGGCTTTCTGCCCTCAGTTCAAGGGCATTTGTGGTAGCGCTATCCTCTTGGTCATGTGATGCTGCTGACAGAAAAGAAAAGTGTGTTGCCAGCAGTAAGGAAGTGTTCTTTATAGATTATGGAAAAGCTTTCTTGGAAGCCAGCTTCCACTTACATCCCATCAGCCAGAACTAGGCCACATGGCCAGTCACAGCTACAAAGGAGCTGTGAAGTTGGAGACCACGGTCAGTCCTGGGGACGCAGGCACTTGTGCCCAAAATGATGGTTCCCACTAGCGAAGAAGGGGGAAGGATATTTGTAAGCCATGAACAATGTGTCTGCAAGGCACGTTTTCTCCTCTTTTCAAGTCCATTTCTGTTTAGAGAGGGCTTGTGTCTGAATCAGGCAAATGGCAAGAGAAATATATCACCATCTTCTCTTTCCCTTCCCAACTAGACAAATTATTGGCAGAAAGGGGGAAAAGCTGTAAATCAGGTCAAAAGACAAATCCCGCTGGGAGAGTCTGGTGGACGCCGTGAGCCGACCCCTGCCACTGTTTATGGAAGGCACAGGAGGTGAGCGGGTCGTGAGCATGAGGCTGCATGACTTAGCGCCAGCGCTGCAAGTGTCAGTGAGGCTTTTCAGGGAATCAGAACACAGAAGGGCAGTATGGCCTGAGCAAAAGCTGAACTCTTCACCCCTTCCCTGTGGGAGAGAAGAGAGCTCAATGTGTCAGAAGCACATGATAGAAACTGTCAAAACAAAGTTTGGGTTTGCACCGAGTGGGGGCTGCTGTTGGGAAGGAGAGCAGCACTGGCCTTCTTCCTCCTTGTCTCTCTCAAACCGGAATGATGGGGACTAGGAGTAGGGAGGCAAAGGGGTTGAGGAATGTAGAAACATCTCTAGAACATGTGTCACACCTTCCAGCCAAGTGTGCAGTGCAAGTAACCCTGTCCACAAACCAACAAACCCAAACACAGCCAGAACCCCGACACTGAGGCATTAGCAACAACACGTGCACTCTCCTCTTAGTAACATTCAGTCTCCACAGTGAATTCCTACTGAGATTGCTGAGTTCCAGGGCCATTCACACATAAGAGCTGGCCTAAAGCTATGATCTATCTAAGACTCCCACAACCAAGCATTCATGCCTAAGAGGAGCAGCGAGGCAGACCCTCCCACCCCAGCCAGGTAAGCAGAGGGGTTAGGGTCATTGGCCCACTTCACTGCTATTCAAACACAAGGGTCTTCAGGTAGCTGCTCATGTCATGGCCTGTGCTTTACTCTGCCCCGTACCACCACCACCAGCAGCAGTAGCCTATCCAGGGAAATGGGGGCAGAGAGGGCTCTCTGAGAACCAGGAGATCCCTGACCCCACTCTATCAGTGAGCAGGGACAGCCACATCCACCATCAGCTTCTGTGTCCACTTTTGGCTCTCTGTGAACAGCACCTCTCGTAGCAACTGGCACCAAGACAGACAATGAAGATGTTACATCTTTGCTCATTCGGTTTACTTTGCCAGTAGTCACAGAAGCACAAGGCTTTTTCTATTGAAGAGGTACTTTGCAGGAGGTGGTGCAGTGGAAGAGTGGTTCAAATTTAGCATCTAATAATAGCCCAATTAAGTCACAGATCCCATCTGTTTCTACTAGGGGAGCTTTGCAGAAGTCAAAGACTACTTGTTTTCCTTTCCTCTTGTACATACTGGATCTTTTTCCAGCACCCTCACAAACAGCAATAGAGGGACTGCCACTCCCCTTTGTGGAGTAACCTATTTATCAGTCCATTAGCCACTTCTCTAGGGAGGGCAGCCTAGCATCGCAGCACAAACACCAGGGTGCTGGGTGCAACCTGGGCCTTCTTCCCAGCTCAGCATGTATCTTGGTAACACCTTTGAACGTGTCTCCCTGTCTGGCTACAAAGACAGAAAATGGCACTCTTTGTTCCCCATCCACTCCCATAGGGTGGGTGAGAATTGATGCAAAGTGTTTGGGCAGTCCTTGGAAGAAAACACCCAGCCTGGGCTGGTCACTGTAATTTCCATGGTGTTGCTGCAGATAGGGAAGCAATGTGAAAAATCCTCACACTTTCACCCCCTTTGGTTCTTGTTAGTTGAGTGTGAAAGGAGCAGAAGGTGGGGAGAATTGGGAGGGAGAAGGAACGCTTGTGTTTGGTGTGTGTGTTAGGGACTGGCCACAGAGGGGAAGGAAAGTGAGCATGGAGGTGTAGGTTCAATCCTTGAGGTCAAAGTGTT